CAATTTGCATCATGAATTAACTTATCTCAGAAGGGAATAATGGTTAATAATGCTTGCTGTCCCAGCATAAGTACTTGTTTTAAAATTCCAGCCATCCTATAAAAAGCTTGCATGTAATAGTCAGTAGGAAGAAGAGAAACCCTGTTAATTTCTGAATTTCAATGATATGCCTATCTAAAAGGAATAAATCATGAATGAAAAGGCCAGCCACTATTAGTCCTACTCTGACGTATATATACAAGCACATAGAAATTCACATAAACACTACACAAATGCACCAGATTTTCTCTCTCATACATACCACAAAATAGTTTAAAAGAGAAATGTGGACACCAACCCAGCCATATACACCTTGACCTAAAATCTGTCAAACCTATAAGATGCCCTGGGCCAATGGTGATATAGAACTTGTGGGAGTGACCTAACAAAGTTTGGCCTACCTTTAGAATCCTGATTCTAGAGGGATCCCATGCCACATACTCTCTGGATGTACATGAATCAGAGTCTGTTTAGCCTGGATATGTAGTATAGAAACTACAGTATAGAAACACAACAAAAAACAAAAGAAAATAAAGAATTAAAGAATGAAAGAAGAAAGAAAGGGTCTCATGGGCCACAAAAGGTAATATGCTGAAAATAGCTCGGAAATTGGATGTTTTAAGGTCAGGATTCCTTTACAGAAGCTTGGGCTTGGGTTCAATGAATCTCTTTGGATTCTGTCCAACAGAAATGGCAGATAATAAACTGTTTCATTTTAGTCTATCTTTGAAACTGGTTGTTGAAATTGCATTGTGAAAAAAAATATCATTAGAAAATAAGAGTTCAATTTTGAGAATGCAATTTTAATCTGTCAGTTTTAACAAATATGCTTTACCATGTTTTACGAATCATTCAGCTGGTCAGGGGTGGGGGCAGGCAGAAATCTGAGTTTGAATCTAGTGTGGTCTACAGAGTAAGTTTCAGGACATTGAATCCGTACCTAGGAAAACTATCACTCAATCACATAACAAAGATTTTTTTAATGTTTCATTACTGGTCACTTTATATGTGGGAATATGTAAATCTCAATGTTATGAGAAATCCTTTTTTTATACTGTAAATGTATATTACTCTCATTTGTTAAAAACAAAAACAAAACAAAACAGAACTGACTTCAACACTGTTCTTTTGTTATGATACGGTCTCAAGTGAACTCAGGGCTTTTGTCTACAACCTCAATTTTCTTCTGATGACATGTGGCCTCTTGAATCTCTGATATAAATCAGTTGACCTTTTGGAATCCTTGTTATAAATCAGTTCTCTTTTGTATCCCTGTCATTAGTCAGTTGCCCATTGAATGCCTGTTGTTACATTTCCCTATAATTCTAGGATGCCAGAGACAGAGACAAGAAATTGCCATGTTCAGGGTAAATTTGGTTTATACAGTAAAGCTTTGTTACATAAAAATAAATGCAAATAAGGCAAGGCGTGGCAAAACAAAACAAAAACAAAACACAAAAACCATGAAAGAAACAAACAAAGCTAAAGAATAACCTTGTTACTACTTTATGTATATATGGACTCAATTCTTGTTAACTTGTCCTATTTTTTCCATTGAATTCATTTTTAGTTATGATTCAACTACAATATTATGAAGTTAACAGCACACTTAGAAGTCTGTAAATAATATGATACTTTTTAGCACATGTTTTCCTATAGTAGTATCTGTGCTATTTATGTTCAAAAGAATTTACTTTAGAGTTAGTTTTGTACCATTATCTAACTGAAAATTATACTGAGATGTGTGAAAAAAATCTATATTTCCCTGTGAAAACCCTTAATGTGTTTAACTATTGGCCTTCTGTGCATTGTTGTTTGTCTAAACTAGTGAATTTTCCATTCTTAGCCTTTCACACTGCCTGAATTGTTCTTATGTCTCTTTTTTCTGCAATGAAAGGAATTAACAGGCAAATATATCACATTTTTGACTCTTTATGTCAGTATCTCTAAGTATTCTGGCTTTTCATTTGCTATATGTCTTGGAACATTATTGTGGATGCACAAATAACATTTTTTTTCCAAAATGCTTATGAAGAAAATGTTATTTCATTAGTTAAGGTTTTTATCACTGAAGAAGCACCAGGACCATAAAGCAAGTTGGTGAGGAAAGGGTTTAGTGGGCATACAGTTCAGCATTGCTGTTCATCACTGAAGAAAGTCAGGACAGAAACTAAAACAATGCATTTTCATGGAGGCAAAAAGAAAATAATGCTCAGGCAATGGGGGCTTTCTTCTTAATTGCTTGCTCAGCCTGCTTTCATATAGAACCTAAGAGTACCAGCACAGGCAGTGTACCCTGAGCTCAGCATGAGCTGAGCACACTACAATTGATCACTAAATGAGAAAATGTCTTACAGCTGGGACGACACATTTCCTCAAACCTTTCTTTGATGATCTTGCTTGTGCCAAGTACAGAATAGCTGTTGTGATTTAATAAGTATGATTTTTATAACAGCAAAAACAGCTCATTAAAAAGAATGTTAAAAAAAACATAGGGTCAGACCTAAAAGGAAAATTATCATTGATGTATAAATATACTAAAATAAATTATATCCTATATCCTCATATATAGAATGCTTCATATTATATAATTAGGGCTACATAAAGATATGTTTGTGCATACATAATGAAATTTGAATAAAATCCCCAAAACCACAATGTAGTCCCTTACATACTCTGTTTCCATTATTTCCTTTTCCAAACATAGTATGGTATTAGGTCCTGTAACATCTTATTGACACAAATGCAAAAGATGATGCTTACCTTTTTGAAACTGACATAATTCATTTTGATTATTTTTGAGAAGAAAATAAATGGCAATTTGTCAAGCTTCTGGTATTTATGTGAAATATGCATGGTGAAAAACTACATTGAATCTTGGCAGAGGGACACAGCTATTGAAATTTACAATACATTAAAAATCATAGGCTGAAATAATCTTTATTCACAACACAGGTAGGAAGAAAACTAATACAAAGCTATCAAAGAAACTGGAGAAAGAGACAAAATTCAACAAAATGCTCCATGTTAACATATTTCAATCCTGATTTCAAAATGCTTGAATATTTAATAATTTAACACCTGATGAATTTGGTGTCCTAAAACCTTGTTCTGTTATTATGAGTTTTTAATGAACTTTAATTTTTGTTCTATACTTAAAATTAACATATGATGATACAAAAATAACTTTCACTCTTATAAATTGTTCATAGAATATAATGATAAATAAATGATGTCAAAATGGTTCAGTAGAAAGAAGAACCTGACATGAAACATGAGTATATAAGCTGATTCCTAGAAACCATTGCTGAAGAAGAGATTTTACACCAAAAGTTTTCAATGATTTTCCATGTGTGCTTTGATATGCACATGCATGCACTGACACACACTCCCACACATACACACAAACACAAAAACACTACACCAGATATCAAATATTATAAATAATAAACAAAATAAAATTTTTAATTCACCTACAGTATCAAAATATAAACTTAAGAGAAAACGGTTTATTCAAGTTTGACAATTATACTTTCCTATTTCATTATACAATATGTAATTTTTCATACTCACCCCTTACCTATATATACATATACATATACATATACATACATACATACATACATACATACATACATACATACATATATATATAAAATCTATTAGTTGGTCTCTCTATGTTTTACCCATTCACCTAGAGAGTAGATTGTAGTTCAACAGTGGTAATTCAATGTTTATCATGCGCTAGATTTTTTGGCTGAAACTCTATGACACACACATACACAATTTACAACAAAATTAAATGCAAATTTTGAAACTTCAAACTAAGGGTGAAATTCATCCCAGTATTCCCAAACCTAAATTTCTTTGCTACTGCTTATAAAGAGTACAAAGAAATCATAATCCCTGCGCTCTTTCTCATTTGTTTTGTAGCAACCCTACTTAATAAGAGTCAAAGACCTAATTATTTTCTTTAGAAAAGTACAAAAATAAATTTAGAGTATTCTTAGCAATGTCATGCAGAAAAGCGTCTTACCTGGGATTCCATGATTTTTCTGATCATTATCTTATGAAATTCTCATAAGGATTCATTAGAGTATGTTTTGTCAAGAAAGCCAAAGGAGTAACTACAATTTGGAGTCCTAAAAGCACTATACATATATTCTGCAGATGTGGGGAAAGTGGCTGTTGTGTCAGAGTTGGAGAGAATAGTGTCAGTCCAATAGGATCTGAAGAATTTAAGTAGGCTGCAATGTGTTTTAATCGTTAATGAACACTAACTTTCATATCCAATTTTCAACCAACATTTTTCTTCTGTTCCATTAGGTTATATTTTCTTCTAGAAGTGTCATTTATTTCATGTTATTTATTAAAGAGAATGTTTTTCCCTTATTCAATTTTCAACTACAGAGCTACCATTATAACCCATAATTACTTAACTTTCAAAGAGTAAATAACTTTGCACTGCGTTATTATTGTTAAATGTGCTTTATAACATCAGTCTCACTAATTCCTAAATATCTCAGATTTTAGGTAGAAATTTATTTTTTTTATTCATTTGTAGTATTGTAACATGACTAGAAATGTAAGATAAATTTATTTCTAGCAAGTAAAAGGAGGAGATAGCTAATGGAATATTGCAACCTTCTGGCAGATTTATGTGTGCAGTTTAAAACAAATGGTGCTTGAGCTGGAATTTATAGCATTACAATTAAATAATTACTGAGCTACAAAATACAATTAACTAGCTTAATTGGAAGATAAATTAAATGTCTGTTCATTCCCAGTTGCAAATGTTGTAACCTGTCTTTAGTAATTATATGAGAAAATGTTGGACTTTCTAATGTGAACTTTTTTTCCTGTTTCTATGTTTTAGGAATATACTGGATAGTTAATATTGTAAATGAATATTGTGAAACAAACACAATTTGTTTGCATCATCCCTATTCTTCTGTAGAACAATGGTTGGGATCCAAATACACACTACCGTCAATTGCCGCATGCTAAAACACTGGATGGTGGTCCTTCTTCTACTATGGTCTTGCATTAAAGTTGCTGAGAACTTGCAACCTGGGAGGACTCAGAGAGCAGCCCCATATCCTCGGAGAGCTAAGCGTGGCTGGGTGTGGAATCAATTTGTTGTACCAGAGGAAATGGATATTAGACAACATGTTGGACAGGTACTTATTTTCTGAAGAATTAAAGTAAATGGCTTTGTAAAGGTTTTTGTTGATATGTTAGGAAAGTCTGATAAGTTTTACATATTTAAGAGAGCCATTAGAAACTGCCAAACACAGCACAATAACCCACTCCAAACCTGTAAATGGAAGTCTAGTTTTTAAATTTCTCTTTCTGTCTTTTCATGAACCTGTCACAATATTTATCAACATTGAGAAATGTAATGATGCAATTTCCGAAAATAGATCAAAGCATCCACAGAGTCAAATATAATTTGACAGCATTTGTGAACTCCATATAATGATCTGCAAAGTAACTGTTGACATACCTCATCCATATTTAATTATGCACATTAATAACATCTGTTTAACCAGGAGCCTACACACACCATTTAATTAGAGAAGTTCAAGTGCAGAGAGTGATTATTTTCATTTTGTCAGAGGAGTATATTCAGGGAACTTTCCTTAATGAGACAGAACCTCTCCAATTTTTATATTTGTTTTTTTTTATTTTTATTTGATTGAATTTATACAAAGATAATTGCAATACCATCCTCTGTAACTCTCTTGCTTTAAGATAGATGTACTGAAATAGGTTACCTACTCACTAGGTAGCAGTAAAATATAATTGAATCCAAATGGTGAAGCACTCAGAATTTATTCACTTAACTTTATTCAGTCCATTTGAGAGAATAAAAGTCTGGTTTTCAGAGTCTGTGAATACTTTTAGGCAAAAAACATACATAGGGATTGCACACATAAATGCATGTTATAGTCTCAGTCCATTTTTAAGTCATGTTTTTCTATAAGAATATATAAGTAACATTTGCATGTATGGTGGCTGTGGATGTCAGATATCATCGGATCCTCTCTGACTGGATTTAAAAACTACTTTGACCCAACTTGTGGGTTTTGGGAACTGAATAAAAGGTCCTCTCAATGATCAGAAAGCTCATTAAACCATTGAGCCATCCACACAGACATGGATATTTGTGTTCAAACCAAACCTTGTCTATAGAGTGAATTACAGAGAAGCCAGGGCCTGTTTTTTTATACAGGGCTATACACACAAAAATAAAACAAAAAACAAACAAACAAACAAAAACAAAAAAATTAAAAAATAATAAGAAATAGGAATTATATAGATTTTTTTACTTGATACTGCTTAGCAAACATGAAAAACATGAACAGAAATTTCCCATATGTCTGGAAATTCACTTGTCTATTATTACTTGCAGCTAAGATCTGAATTGGACAATGGAAACAACTCTTTCCAATACAAATTACTTGAGACAGGAGCTGGAAGCTTCAGCATTGATGAACGAACAGGTGACATATTTGCCATACAGAAGCTAGATAGAGAGGAAAAATCCCTCTATATCCTCAGAGCACAGGTAATCGATACCACCACTGGAAAAGCTGTGGAACCTGAGTCTGAGTTTGTCATCAGAGTTTTGGATATCAATGATAATAAACCAAAATTCCTCGATGAACCTTATGAGGCCACTATACCAGAGATGTCTCCAGAAGGTATTGCACATTAATTTATATATACTTGGAGTTTTATTAAAAGTTACACTGACTTAAACTTTCAAGTATATGTTTGGTAGAACATTGCATTAATTTCCATATTACTATTACCTCTGACAAATTTTTAAGTAAAATACTTGCAAATACTAAACTGTATTTAGTGTTTCATTTATTATTAGTTCAAAATTGCTTGAATTTCTATGGTATTATGCAATGGCTTTGTTTCTTGCATACACTATATGTTTATAATAACTTCTTTGTATACAATGCTGGTATTTATTGGTTGCCTAATTTGATTACAAACTTGAACATTCAAGTGGAATTGAGCTAAAATTTACATTTTTCTCATTTGTCACTCTCTATTACAAATTAATTTCCCTGCAAGTACACAAAAAAACATTTAAACTTTTTGATGTGCATATTTGATTTACAACATTTTCATGATTAATTAAAGAAAATAATTTATACAACAATACTACTATAGTCATCAAAAACAAGGAGTACAAAAATAGGAATGCTTGAAAGTTTAAATGCAACTTTGGTCATTTCAAGTTACTTTTAAATTTTATTACCACTAAGGTCATGATTTTTACAAATGACTAAGAGGTAAGACAAAATTATTAACTAACTTGGAGATCAAAAATATCTTTATAGTTAAGGGAATATACGGTTATGAAAAATTATTTTAATAAATCAGCAAAAATGTGTATAGAGCAGATCTAATTCAAAAAACTGTTTATAATGATAATGAAGTGCTTTGGTCGTAAGCATATTAAAATTTGATGACAAGTATTGAAGTTCATTTATGGAAATTTTGATCAACATCAACAGTTTGTGAAATATATTTCCCATTGTATTTTTCCTGATTTTTTTTTTAACTTTTAACATTCCAAGCATAAATTAATGGTTCATTCTGAATCGATTAAAGGATAATATTGTTCTTGTGTAATACATAATTTACAGTATAAATTTAGCTTAATAATGTGTGTCAAAAACAATGTTTATTACAATATTTTTAAAATTTAAAATTAAATTTGTTATTTTGATAGCTAAACAAACAAAATCCTTGTCCAACCTCACAATTATTTGTTGTCCCCTCCTCTTCTTCCATAATGAGTTCTTTCTTCTATGGTCTCTTTCTTCTTTTATATAATATAATTTATGCTATCATGTACTGAGAATATTTTGTTTAAAAGTAATAATAGAAGCATAAAGGACTGCAAACATTTGTTTTTATAATTTAAACACATAAACAATGAATATCTAATTTTAAATTAACATATTCATAATTAGTATGTGATAAAATATTGTCTATAGGTGAAGTATGATGGTCATTTTTGTCTGGAGAAATGGGGCTGATTGTTTTTATGGAGACCAATCTAATATGATGAAATAATTAGAGAACACCATAAAAGCAATCTAACTGTTTTCAAACTATTCTTGGAAACAGAGTTTCTTTAGATCCTGGATATGTGTAGAAAATTCAAGGAAGCTGATGGTTTCCTAATTATTCAGCTAAGGAGTCATTATTTCCCTCTCATTTTTCTTTGAAATTTGTCATAAAGAGTGGAACTGAGAAAATGGTCTCATAATTTATATGGAGAAGAAGAGAAACAAAGTGAACAGCTACTTACAGAATTATAATCCCTATTGTCAATAATTATGTTTAGTTTAAAGCATTACAATGTGGCTAATTGTTAGGTGCTATGATTTCAACGGCCTGGTCCCAGTACTGCACCAGCCTCAAATAACACACATAGACACTGTATTTGATATAATGCTGTTAGCTGGTAACTAGTATTTCTTTTTGACTAGCACCGTCTTAAATATTAACCCATTTCTATTATTGTAAACATTTCCACATGGTCTTATCTGACCAGAGAGAAGGCCCAGTGTTCTTCTCTCTATCCTAAAAGTTGAATTTCCTCCCTACTACTTCCTGAATCCTCCTTGTCTCCTAGTCCCAACTATCTGGCTTTCCTATTGGCCAACAGTGCTTTAATCATTAGCCAATAAGAGACACATATTTACAGAATGACATCTCCTATCATCTCCTCTTTTCTGTCTAAAATAAAAAGAAGGGTTTTAATCTTAGCATAGTATAAGTTATAACAAATCAGTTATCAAATAAAAACCACAGTTAACAATGTTCAGTCCATTAACATTTAATAAGATTTAAAGAAATTATTCCATCATCTATCCTATCTTTGTGAGTCTAAAATCCTCAACTCCCTCAAAGATCACAGAAAGACAGTATAAAAACTCTAGAAATTACAGAAAAAGATTACTCTCCTTGTTAGTCACCTAAAGTTCTTCTGTAATGTTCCATCTTCAGCCTATAGGCCATAGTGTGTCTGACAGACCCCTCAGCAAAGCAGGAAGTTTCTAAACTGTCCCACCTGTGTTGGAAGATTGTCAGTCACTTTTCTCTGTGTCATGCAGTTTGTCTGGTAGACTCTTCCATGAAGCAGGAACTCTATAGGAAATGTCCATCTTGTGCCAGTAGTCACTTTCCTGTGGATCATATATGTCCAATTTATACAGCATAAAGTCAAACAGTCCAGACACGTGCAGTTTTTTGCTCAAATGGCTAGTCTTGCATATTGAAAGCAAACTTCATAATGCATTTTTTTCAATGTCCATCTACCCTTTTGATATAGGTGGTGTTGCCAGGAGCAGTTATGTCTCACTCTCAAGAAAAACCCTAAACCATTTTAAATGCCATATTCTGTATGTCTTTGAAGGTGTGAAGAATGCCTATTCATCTCAAATACATCCCTGTATATCTACAAGTCCTAATTAACTTAACTATAAGTTTTGACTATTGTAGTTAAAGCCTAACTAAAGTTTTGACTATTATACGTAACTGTCTAAAATTTGCATTAAATTATACATTTTCAAATGAGCTATATAAACACAATACCTAAACAAGAGGAGAAATATCACAAATTTGACCTTAAATAAATATCACTAAATGAAAATTTATTCCATAACAAATTATTCTGATCTGTACCATAAAACCCTTTTTACCTGTAACAAGAGATTTGTTGTGATCATTAGCTATTTATAACCAACTCCATACAAATGAAAACAAACCTTTATAAAAAATGTTTGGGAATTATTCTTTCCAAACTGCTTCTTGATGTTAGGGGGCACTTTCTTGGGGATCCTAAAATGTAGAAATCCTGGCTGTAGTGGTCTGCAAGGCTGCCTTGTCCCAGCTGTTTTGAATGTTGCATCACCTGGGAAACTGCTTTAGGGGGTATAGCTTGATCAAACCATGTTAGTCTGGAAGGAATCCCACCTTTTCATTTTCTGTGGAAATAAAAATAGAAATTCTTTTCCCCCAGTAACTTGTCCTTGGACTTTAATTTTGAAGTAAAAGCATTTTCAAAATATATGAATTGGATTAATTTAGCAGCATTGGTAATCAAGTTCATTGTAGCAATTATTTCTTCCTCAGTAATTGAGCAATTTAAAGACAATATCATAACATACATTACGTAGACTGTTTGTGTGCTTTCGATCTTCAAGTGGATTTTTTTATTACTTTATTTCTTCCACTTCCACTTTTATTCTTTCATTTTTTTGAGACTGGGTTTTTTTTTTTTTTTAGTTTTTTTTTAATTTTATTTAATTTTATATAACAGTCCAATTAAATGAAAACAAACATTTATACACAATATTTGGGAATTTGGGCGTCATTCCTTCCAAACTACTTCCTGCCGGTAAGGGGTGCTGTCTTGGGGGATTCGAGGAAGATTCAGATATTCTGGCTGTAGTCTGTAGGGCTGTTGTGTCCAGCTGTTCTGAATGTAGGATCAGCTTGTACTCTGTTTCAGGCGGTCTGGCGTGATCAAACAACATAGTCTGGAAGGAATCCACATCTTTTCATTTTCTGTGGAAACAAAAATAGAAATCCTTTTCCCCAGTAACTTGTCCTTCAACTTAAATTTTGGAGTCAAAGCATTTCTTTATTTAGTTTAATATATAATTTTACATGTCGATCCCAGTTCCCTCTCCCTCCCTCCTCCCTTCCTTTTTACCCTCTCTGCCCTCTCACATACAATCTAAACACCCTCACCTCCCATCCCCCCCACCCCAATTCCATATGTAGGGGAGTGCCATCCAGTTGGGGTCATGTAGATCTGACAGGTCCTGTGAAGTAGGGACTAAGGCTTCTCTCCTGTCTCTAGATTAAGGCAGTTATCCCTCCATGGGGATATGTTCACAAAGTTCTTTTGTGAACCAGAGATACATCCTATCTCCACTGTCTGAGGTCTCTTAGACTGCTCAGTCCTTCTGGCTGAAACCCATAATCAGGGGGGCCTGAGTCAGTCCCAGCTATCAGTCTAGTGGCCATTAGCTCCTCCTTGTTCGGGTAAGCTGTCTCTATGTGTTTCTGCAGCATGGTCTTGTCCTCTCCATCTGCATCTGGGTTCTAGTTCGACTCAGTGTTTATGTATGGGTGTTTGATCCTGTTTTCAACAGGCATTAGTTGAGGGCTCCATGGAGAAGTTAGTTGTTGATCTCACTCTCCGGGAAGGGCATTTATGATAGCCTTTCCACGTGAGCTCAACTTGTTAGTTGGGAGCAGTCTTATAGTTCTCTCGACCTTTCATTGTGTTCAATTTTATCTTCAAACCAATATTGGCTCCCTCTTTTATGTTCTCTCTCTCTGTCTCTGTCTCTCTCTTTCCTATCTTCTATTCCTAACCAGGCTCAATATTCCTGGTCGCACATGTTTTCCATTCCTCCTGTCATTTTCTCCTACTTCTCTCTCCATTCGCTGTCCTCCCCCACTTCACCTGAGCTCTGGGGGACTTGTCCCTTCCCAGTTCTGTGAGGGACTTTCTATGAATCTCTTAGAATACACCTTGTATCCTACTTCATCTGGTGATGTGAATTATAGGCTGGTGATCATTTGATCTAGGTCTAAAATCCATATATGAGTGAGTACATACTGTGTTCCTCTTTTTGTGACTGGGTTACCTCATTCA